GGCTTCGCGTGGCCTGGGCCCGGCAAGCCGCGTATAGCCCTCGGAAAGAACGGCAATGGTCGCGCGAAGGTGCGCGAAACTCCTCCCTTCCTGCTCGGACGCGGAAGGCGGCGGCGGCGGCGGCGGGTTGGCGATCGCGGCGTCAGGGGGGATGCGCCGTTGGGGATCGCCGGATGCGTGCGAAAGCGTGGACAGATACGTCAAAAGCGCCGAAACCTGCGCGTAAACGCAATAATAAGTCGGGGAAAAGGACGAATGCGCGGGCGAATCGCCATTGGGAACGGTCCCTGTGGTTGTGGGGGTCGCTTCTTGGATAAAGTGGAGGAGCTCCAACAAAGAGGTGCGGATTTCATTTATAAAATCGTCCCCTTCGTCGTTCAGCTTTTCGTCGTTTCCTTTCTTTCCGCGTTTCGTTTGTTTGGATGACTTGGTCGATTTGCCATTTCCTGATAGCCCCCCTGCGAATATATTCACCAAAGGCAAGGTGGCGCTCAGCCATTCAATGGATAAAATCGATCCATACCCGCCTCGTTCATTATCGAGTGGAGTATGTTGCTCGTTGCGTTTTGTATTGGCATTACTAGAAATAAGAGGAAGGTTATCGCTCGGCGCCATTTTGCCCGCATCAAGGCTGGCGAGCTTCACCAGCGAGGCCAAAAACCGCCTTAAAGCCTTGCTAAGCTCCACCCCGGCATCCTCTCGGCGATTTTTGCTATTATTATTATTATTATTATTAGAAGCTTTAACGCGAAGAAGTTGATGAAGTGGGCTGCTCATCATATTTCTAGTACGATATGCTTCCAAACGCAATACTAAGATGGCCGTTTGCACAGCCTCCTCTTCCATGTAGGAATGGGAAGATCGTGATGCGAGAATCGTATTCAGCTGGTCCTGCGCGTGCGAAAGAGAAGCGCGCGTGATGCGGTGAAGTAGGGTGAGGGCGAGGGGCGTTAAGGGAGAGGTAATGGTTGAGACTTTCGAAGGGGTTGTTTTCCTTGAGAAGCGCCCTTGATCGCGACGATTCAACCCATTTTTATCGTCCTCGCCACGGATGCTATCGTTCTCACTGACGTACGCTTCCTCACGCTCAAAGCCGCTAGCAGCCGCCGTGTCCGCTCTTTCGTTTTCTTTGGTATCATGATCCGGGCTTAGGGAGTAGGTTTCTTGCGAGGACTCTTCTAAATTACGCTCCGCTTCTACACAAAGGGCGTAGCTTTTTTGCAGCACATCTTGCGTGAAGGCAAGCAGCATCTCACGGGTGTTTTCCCTAGTGCATTCCGCCTCCTGCACGTCCTTGATTTCCCCCGCTCCTTTCCAGCCAATTGGTTTTCCAACTCCCTCGGCAGGGGTGTGAAACGCGGAAGAAGAAAAAAGTACATCGACGGCAGAGGTCACGGCAGCGGTGCCGAGGGGTAGAAACATCTTCTGCAGTTCCATTCCCCACTCCGAAAGCTCGCAAAGGCGTTGGGAAGAAGAAAACGAAATCCCTTTTGAAGAAATATACGGCGCAATACATAACGGGCATAAAAGCTCCAAAACCGCCCCTACAAACTCCAAAACACGGCAAGAAAAGCTTTTCGCTTCGCATACGGTTTCTCCGTCTTTTAGGGGTTGAAATCCTGCATTTAGAATCTTAGGGATTCGCGCCAACAAAGCCTTTTCGCGGGGATCTCGCCAAAGAAAGAAATCTCCCGCTCTGAGCAAAGAGGAGAGAAGACGAACGTGATCGGCTTCGGACTGAAGGCAGGCTACAACAACCGCTAACAGACGATGTGTAGGGCGTAAAGTGGGATCTTGATCATACGGATTATCATCGAACGCATTGGCGTCGCCCCCTTTTTCCTCATTGTTGCCATCCCTTTCGGATTCATTGTCGTCGCTGCTATTGGAAGGTGCGTTCGCGATGGCGTGCTTTTTAGTCTCCTGTAGAACGCCCTGCAGGGCGTTCCCGATGGCAATACAGCCGACACCTTTTACTAAGCAACGCGCCATACTTTGGGCTAATGCGCTCACGCACGTATAGCCTTCTTTATAATCCTCATCCTGAGTCTTCTCTTCCGCCGCAATGGATAAGGATTCTTGTGGGGGTATTTCCGTTTCCTCTATTGCTTCGCCGGGGAAGACAAACCTCGACCAAAAGCGATCGGAACGAAAGTCGCTTTGCGGGGTGTTGCTTGAGGTTTCGTTTGACTGGTGCACATCGTTCTCTTCGTTTCCTTCTTCGTTTTTGTGTGCGTCATTGTCATCGTATTGAATGATATAAAGTTTGCGGAAGTAGTCCTCATTATTCGCCCGCGCCTCCGCCAATTGTTTGTCGTCCAACAAAAGAAAGAGCTCCAAGAGCTTGACATAGTGGTGCTCGAACGAGGAGTTCAGGGTCCCTCGCATTCCGCGAAATAATTCCTCCGCAAAGAGCTGCAACCCTTCGACTACTGGATGATAGGGGAGGGTTGTATTAATGTACTCCCGAATGCGTCCCTCAGACCACACCTTCGCCAACACATCGGGCGGCGGGGGCCGCGAGGCGGGTGGGGGCGGGGGGGTTCCTCGACCGCCCCCGCCTCCGCGTCGGCTTCGTCCTCGTCGTCCGTGAG